AGAAAAACAAAGAACAAAAAAAAAAAAAGAAAACGACTAATCGATTATTAAATTAGTCATAGATTATTTTTAGTAATCGATTAGTCGTCGATTAATCGATTAAACAGAAATGACACCTTCGCAGATCTGAATGTGCACCAAAACCACCACCATCGCCAAACTGCACCTCATGGAACACGAAAACCCTATAAGAGAAAATATTCTTTTCGGCTATTTCGGCGACCAGCTGGCTGATTTCTTGCAGCACACTGTTAGTTACACGGATGTTTCAGTCAAGCAGCCAACAGTACACACACACACACTAAGGGCTCGACACCATTGCCAACTCTGGTTACAGCATACAGTCACAGCCTGCTGCTCTGAATAAGTAACGAGGTGGTGATAGAAACATGAGCAAGAGACGCTATTTGACTACAAGTCAGTTTGACCGGTTGAAGTTCTAGGAAATTGTTGGAAGAACGTGTTGAARGAATGAAGAACATAAATAACTTAGTTTGTCAAAAATATTCTTTCAACTTCTGTCTACGTAGAAAAACAGATGTCTGAATGCAGATGTGCCTGTCTGTGCAGCTACCTGTATGACCAGCGGCTGTAGGCAGGCTGAGATCCTTCAGTCTTTACGCTGTCCATGCAGGAATGCTAATCCTCGGACAGTACGCCCCCGAACTCTTCATTCACCTTTACGGCTCACGTTCCTGTTCAGCACCGGCCCAACAGAAAGACCTACGAGCTCCGAGATCTCTTGTAAACGTTAACAGCGGGGGGCAGATGAGCTTTACCGTGTCCCACCCATGGGAGTGACAGRAACCCAGCAGCCGAGGCAGACTGAGGTTGTGAGGCTTGTGCTGTTACCATGACTTCACACTTCAGGCTACGCACAAGAATCCAGCGAGGGATGGGTATGACAGRGTCAGCGGGTGTATAAAAGGTAGCAGTCAGAAAAACAAGTCATAGAATCAGGACTGGAATGAGATCAGAGGTAAGCTGTTATGGCCTATTTTATGATTTTTTTTTTAATATAATGAGGTCATTCTTCTCCCGTGGCTGGAAATAAATCTTAAAATAATAACTGGACTAGTCGTCATCAAAAGAGACCCTCATGTAATTGCCCAACTAATTCCCAACTTTCTGAACGAGTCTACAGTCAGTTGTAGCTCATTTCCTCTGACTCATAAGTGAACATATCAAACCCCAGACAAACTCTGTCAGCCATATTTCACAAACGCAACAGTGGGAGGTCACTAAGCTTTAAATATCTTACAGAAATTGTGCCAACYTGAAAGAATGACCCTATAGTTTTCGATTTTCTTGTCTGCAACTGTAAAACGAAAAGTGTCGAAACGTATAGATCGGCCTCTTCTAAAAACAGACCTAATAAAAGACACTTATCTAGTTGCTATGAGACCAGAAGCTCTCTCTCTCTCTCTCTCTCTCTCTGCACCTATCTGCAAGAGCGAGACAAAGAAAAAGCATAAACAAATAACAACAAAAAAGAAGAATCATGTTATGTTTGTCCCGAGACATAACGGTAAAACGGCAAATKAGTCGACCGACGATAAGCAAGGGAATCATACCAGAGGGAGTAATTATTGAGCTCCAAACAAATGATGGAAATAAGAGCTGATAATAATACCACGTCCCACGAGGACCACTCTGCGTGTGACTCTTCGATGGTGACGCTTCGCTGTGTCGAGGGAAAGCCGAGSCCGGTATAGGCTTATTGCGAACCCACATCTGGAACTCTTTGATTCACCGTGAGAAAACGTTGCTCAAATTTACACAGTTCACCAGCGGTAAACACAGAGGAAAGCATAACTATAAACCAGAAACGTTTCCTCGAATTTCTTCATTGTGAGTGGGGGGYYAAAAACAGAGAGCTGTGCTGGGCCGTGTGTGTCCCACAAACAAATCATTTACCCACAAGTCATACTCGAAGCTMCTGAGGTACACTGCTGTCCATGTAGAGATTTTCATTTGGAGTAATTGCGGTGCAACGTCCAACTAGCTCYGCCTTTTAAACGGTGCGGACAAACAATGTAAACAATGATAAACGCTCTGAGAGAAAGTAGCTCTATACGGTTTGCATTAAACATAGCCTTGATAGCATCCTACACTGACACAAGCTACTTTTCTTTTTTTTTCCTTCAATATTTTTTGAAAAAAAAAATACATTCAACATTTGACTCGTGTAAGCAGCCCCTGCAAACACTGTTATGAAAACTGTCACTCCTCACATGTTTCATCCCAGCATGGCTGCACAAACTGGGATTTCTAGCTGTATTAATTTGCCAAGTTAATGACCCAGAACGACACCAGTTAAATGAAAAYAATGAGCTAATATCCACGCGTTACTGTCAAATATATATTAGGAAGTTTAAAYGAAACATTTGCAGCTGCAAAATGTACCTTTTTTAAGCTTTATATCATGTCGTTGTTGTAAAGAGTGCTGGAGTGGGAGCGTCAGAAACGGTAGGAAGGTTTTAAAAGAGACAGAGGCCAACTTCAAGGCATTTAGATAAGATATGATACACATTCAGACGTATTTTTGTTATATACAGCTTTTTCATAACAACTGAAGAAATAGTTACTTAAAGGCACAGTGTGTAGGATTTTGTCAATTCTTTTAGCCGTAATTGAGACAATCACTAATGACAATAATAAAAACCATGTCT